AATGATTTAGGATTATAATATATAGTTTGTTTTATATATTGTATTACATAAATACTCTAAAATTGGACATAATAATAATAGCTAGACACTAGACTACACAGAGCTTTATAGCTAAACGAGTAAATAATAAATACAATCGGGTATAGCACCTGTATATCACCCACAAGCCCCAAGTAGAAGCACATGCTCCTCTCTGGCTCCCTCTGGTGGTGAAGGCCCAAGTAACAGATTTTCACACGAGGCCACACAGATTGCATCAGATTGAATTTATTTGCTCTCTATAGCAACAGAAGGGCAATAGCAATCCAACTTAATATCTAATCGGTCCTTTGGAAACCCCAGTCTGAAGGCTTATTTTACGTTCAAGCTAAAAGTGCAGTTATTTCTTTACCCACAAAACACTTACAAAAGCACACTGTGAAGAGTGACAACTATTACGCATTATATAGGCAGTGGCTAACTGTGCAATAAAGCATTTCCCAACATGAGAAATGCCGTTTAATTACAGCTTTTTGTTTCAGGTACAGTTCACTGAGCCCATGAAATTCCAAACAACTTGTAACACTTGGGTTCTAATCTAAACCAGGTGTGAACAGGCAAAAGAGAGCATTAAGGCAAACAAATCAGCCAGTAACCAAATGACACTACTTGCATCTGTAATATCACATAGGAAAAAAGTCTTGTCTGCAAACTCCCTGATGGTGTACCTTGAAAAAATGTGGCATTAACAAACAAAACAATATGCTTTTTCTTTGACACGGTCAGTCAAAGTACCAGAAACACATACTGGTTTGTACTATTACAGCGGATGCAATTCTAAAAGCATTCATTCCCATTTTTCAAGATGTAGTTCAACATTTTTGTTATTCGGACTTGAAATGCAGTTAGTATGACTTTGAATACAACTACCAAACACGTAAAAATAACAAAGCAAGAAAAAAGGGATGCTTCTTTTTTGATTCAAATGTACTATTAAGTGTTACCGGAGCTTTATTGCCATCATTAAAAATACAAATCCACATTTTCAAGGTGTCAGGGAATATCATGTGACCTTAGAGGAATAATTCACTCAAAAATGTGAAATTTGCTGGGAATTCACTGAATTATAGACGAGTTTGTTTCTTCTTTGGAACCGATTTGGAACATTCAGCATTGCATCACTTGCTCGCCATTGGATCCTCTGCAGTGAATGGGTGCCGTCAGAATGAGAGAGCTCAAGCAGCTGATAAAAACATCACAATAATCCACAAGTAATCCACA